CATCTATAAGGCCTAGTTTGTAGTATAAAGAATTTGAAATAAACAAATTATTGAAGTCTTATTTGCAAGTTGGTTTAATATTTTCATTAATAAATGATAAAGGAATTTCTGAATGCTGGGAAAAGGCATTTTTCGGTCGCGAGGGTCATTTTGTCTATTAATGTTTACTATAATGTTTACTAGTCTGTTATATCTTTTACTCGTCTTTTATACGTTTTACTAGTCTGCTATACCTTTCACTAAAATGCTATACGTTGTACTAGTCTGTTATACGTTTTACTAGTTATTATATGTTTTACTAGTCTTTTATACGTTTTACTAGTCTGCTATACGTTTTACTATAATGTTTTACGTTTTATTAGTCGTCTGTTATATGTTTTACTAGAATGTTATATGTTTTACTAGAATGTTATATGTTTTACTAGAATGTTATATGTTTTTCTAGTCCATTCTACGTTTTACTAGTCTATTCTACGTTTTACTAGTCTATTCTACGTTTTACTAGTCTATTCTACGTTTTACTAGTCTATTCTACGTTTTACTAGTCTATTCTACGTTTTACAAAATCTGTTGTGCACTTGCTCTTAAACGGAGCTGAATAAGTTCTCGACTGAAGTCGACAAACTGGATTTAGGTGACGACACGTGGAATTATAGTTTCTGTTAAGCGCTTTTAGATGAAAGAATAACAAAACAGAGAATTGATGATTGCGCATTGGGTCGAGAAGAAGAGGATAAGGAAGAGGTAAAGAAAAATAGAAGAGTAAAGGAACACAGGAGGAACTGAGGAATTAAGATCAGACAAAACGAAAATAATAAAAAAAATAAGTTTAGAAAAGAGGGATGGGAAGAGGTCAGGGGGCTGGGGGGCTGGCCGTGTATTAGCCTGAGTGAACGATTAAGACAGTTTACTGATATAGGATATTATGGACTATTCATACAATACAAATATCAAATATGCAGTACGCTTTCAGAGTTTGGGGAGGTTTCATATCTTAAATTTTACATAGTTTTCTGAGAACCTTTAAAAAACAATGAAGTATTGCTAGAGGCGGCTTAAGGGAGGGGCATGCCCACCCCCTAGAAAGTTAAGGGGACGTCTCCCTCCCTGGAAAACTGAGGGGATCGTCCTCAATAACAGTAACTTTCTTTTATACTTAATTTGATATATCTGGCGCCAAGTTATCAAATTGAATAGTATTAAATTAAAAATGTCCAGGGGTAGGGGGATTTTTTAACAGTATCACTTCCTGTCCCCATCCGATATATATATATTTAAAATGCCCCCCCCCCCCCCTTCTAAACTTTAAAGTCCTCTCCATTCCTTCCAGTTCAGTATTTTGCTTGCATTTTAGTGTTAAAAATATTCGATTTAATTGTATTTGTTTTATAGTTTTAAAATTACTGTCAAGAAAAAAGGAATTAGAATTAATTTTTAACATTTGAGGGTGCTGTTCTTAATCTGACATCCCTCTTAAAAATAGAGGACCAATTGAACATACGTGACAAAACAAATTATTTTCAGTAATCCCCCAAGTACTGTAACATACAGATTGACCTTTGGAAGTGGAGTACACGGCCTGTACAATAAGTAATTAATAATTAGGATAGGACAGAAGAGAAACGAGAATAAAGAAAACAGAAAGTAAGATACGGGATGGAACAAGACGAAAAGAGAAATGAAAAGGAATGAAGAGACAAGAAAGAAAAACAAAATATCAAGGCGGCGGCGGCGGTTGAAAGCGGGCGTAAAAAACGAATAAAACCCCAAAGTTGAAAATTGAAGAAGAGATTATAATCTTATTATTATATACAGGGTGTCCCAAAAAACATGGGAATTCAGTGACGAATTCATTGTTTTGGATTTTAGATTGTTCAAACTAAATCAAAGTTATTATTTATTTAATTATTTATCATTTTGAGAGATATCCCTGTAGGTTGTTCTACTCTCTCAAGAGTACAGACAGGTTGTGCCGGAGCTCCGTATGTTGGAGCAGCTGGAGCTCCGTATGTTGGAGCAGCTGGAGCTCCATAGGAGGAGGTAGCTGCTGGAGCCTTGTCAGGACGGGGTGCAGCTAGAGCTGCTCCTAATATACACAACACCTAAACATTTAAGCCTGTAACAATTATAATCTTATAAATTGATTAGTTTTAAGAGCTAAAAATTTCTCTTTGCAAAATGTGAGATCTTTAAACATTTGAACAAAAAAATCATTGAGTTCCAGAGATAGTCGTAGGTACTGAGATACTTTATCATGTTTACGTGATCTAGAGTATTCTTATGAACAAAGATTAAAATCATACTTTTATACAAAATAAGACAGATGATATTCTAGTGAAAAGAAAGGTTTTCATACAAACATGGCTCCAGGATGTTTGTTTATTCAATAAATATGTTTTGATAATGAATGGAATAGGGTTATACTTAAATACTTAAATACAAATATAAAGATATAATTTATTTGAAATATCTATAATGCAGGTTTGGTTCAATGAATTCAAAATTGTAAAAAATTATTTCCATTTCAGGAAAAAATGGCTTGGCAAGTTGGCACCAGGCACGTTTAATTTAAATGTCATCAAATCTTTAAACGATTAAACATATTTTTTGTTTTGCAATTTGTAGCAGATATCCTTTTTTGCATTAAAAACACATTTGTTGGCTTTAATATGAGGTCAAACTAAAGATTTGTAAGCATCAAACAAGAGGAATTAAGTGTTTTTAGTAACAGGGCAGTTTTCAAACCTTTGTAAAATATTAGGAATCTCAAGAATAAGTCTCAATAAAAAATGTATTTAATTGTTGCTTTATTAAAATATGCATTAAATTGTGTTTTTTTTGCTTCTCAATTCGTCACTGAATTCCCATGTTTTTTGGGACACCCTGTATCTTATTATTATTATTATTATTATTATTATTATTATTATAATAAAGAGGAGGGTGGAAAACGTAAAATGAAAATAAAGAGAAAAACTCTAACAATACATTGTCAGAGAAAAATAGGAAATATTACAGAAATTAAGAAAAACGTAAAATACGATTACATTTATACAGAAACCATTGAGTGTTGAAAAGAACAGGTTTAACTCCCCTTCCACCCTATCTTTACTGTCTAATCTAGGGTAGTTGAGCGCAAACGGTTTGAGAGAATTGGTAGATCTAAATTACACATTATTTAACCTTGAGACCAAAATTATCCTTGACCATTACTCAGAGTCCTTACAGCTGTAAGGACTCAAAAGCTAAAATCTGAGATATGGACGCACGTCGCGCGTTTTATTTAGGAAGTAGTAGCTCTAGTAGCAGACCCTATTCATTTCACAAATCCTCAAACACAGGACTCCCTGGATACACTCCCTTCATATACCTATATACACTCCTACCTGTACTCCACCTACATACTCCTACCTAAACTCCACCTATATATATACTCCTACCTTTACTCCACCTATATACTCCTACCTAAACTCCACCTATATATATACTCCTACCTGTACTCCACCTATATACTCCTACCTAAACTCCACCTATACTCCTATCTGTACTCCACCTATATACTCCTAGCTAAACTCAACCTATATACACATACTCCTACATGTACTCCACCTATATATATACCCCCACCTATACTCCACCTTTATATATACTCCTACCAGTACTCCACCTATATATATTCACTTCTACCATTACTTAACTTATATTTATACTCCCACCTATACTCCACCTATATATGCTTCTACCTGTACTCCACCTAAATATACTCCTAACTGTACTCCTCCTATATATATATTTACTATTCCTATACTCCACCTATATATATAGTCCTACGTGTACTCCACCTATATATATATATATATATATACTCCATATATATGTATGTACTCCTACCTGTACTGCATCTATATATATATGCTCCTACCTATACTCCACCTATATATATATATACTCCTACCTTTATTCCACCTTTATATATATATTTATTTCTACCTGCACTTCAACTATATATACTCCTACCTTTACTCCACCTTTTTATTTTTATAAAAATATATATCCATATATATTTATATTTCTACCTGCACTCCAACTATATATACTCAATACGCATACCTATACTCCACCTATATACTCCAACCTGTACTCCACCTATTTACATACTCCTTCCTATACTCCACCTATATAAATATACTTCTACCTATACTCCACCTATAAATATATATTCTTACCTATACTCCTACTATATACTCCACCTATATACTCCCCCTTTATAATCCTAACTGTATTGATACAAATTGTTCAATTGCTAAGGTTGAGAATGACAAGAATTAATATAAGTATGAGATCGTCCAACCGTGAGACACAGGTCTAGGAATACCAGAAGTATTAACTCTGTACAGTTTCCGTAAATAAATATAGATATAAATAGATAAAACGTACACTTCTTAAATCATCCTAATCAATAATAACATAGTTACTCAACCAGAACTATCTATTTGTTGCCAAACGTTTACTTATTTGCAATCTCTCTAATCTCTATTGGAAAACAAGGAAGAGGAGGAAAATCTTTTCCTAGTTTTAATAATTCTTGGAAAGTAAAAGGTCCGCTTACCCCTCCCTTCTTGTAATAAAGTGGTCTGTGGTCTGGATCTAACCCTGATCTGTATATCTGGTAAATTAGCCCGGGGTATAGTTTTCAAGATCATAGTCTGCACAAATACAAGTAGTCCAACCTGAACCCGCATTCTTTCTTAATCACCATTTTTTAAAAACAAAATTTTTAATCCAGGAAGTAAAATTCAGCTAAGTTTTAAAAATTTAAAATAATTTTTAAAGAATAAAAAATTTCACGGTGTACTTCCTAGCAATCGAAATTTTTTATCCAGGCGCCAGTGGGTCTAATCTAGGCGCCAGGGCGTCTAATATACCCTGCCTGGCTTGCTGACCTTACTCTGGCTCAGTCTCGACCAGTTTTTGCAACTTTGCAGACTTTCATTCATGCCATGTCTGTTTTACGTAGGTCTTTATTTAAATAAATATGAATAAATAATACAAGTATAGTTTCAAGCATTAGAGGTGTTTGTATATAGGTTTGGTTGGGTTTAACCGCTGTAAGTTGGTTGCTCACAGACAGGGCATAGATAGAAGGAAGAACAGTTCTCCTTAGGAACCTTGGAACACTGTTGTTTGGGAACATTCTGACATTCTTGTCTGGGAACGTTTCTGCACTCTTGCTTCGGTACTTTAGAGCATTCTTGTTTGGGTACCTTGGTGCATGACTGACGGGGAACACTCTTGCACTCTTGTTTGGGAACATTCTGGCAGCTCTGTCTGGGAACCTTCTTGCAACTTTCACGTGGGATCTGCTTGCATTCTTCTTTTGGAACTCGCTCGCACTTTTGCTTGGGAACGTTTTTGCATTCTTGCTTGGGAACCTGGTGACACTCCTCCTTGGGAACCTGTTTGGGAACATTGCGACACTCTTGTTTGGGAACATTGTGGCATTCTTGCTTGGGAATCTTTTTAGGAACATTTTGGCACTCTTCCTTAGGAACTTGCTTGGAGACTTGTCTGGGGATATCAGTGCAAACTTCCTTTCCAACCTTCTTGGGAACATTTTTGGCAACCTTGGTGCATTCCTGCCTTGGGACATTGTGGCATTCTTGCCTGGGAACCTTGTGACATTCTTGCTTTGGTACATTCTGGCACTGTTCCTTGGGAACTTGTTTGGGGACATTGTGACATTCTTGTTTGGGAACATTGTGGCATTCTTGCTTGGGAACCTGCTTGGAGACCTGCTCGCAAACCTCTTGGGGAACTTGTTTGGGAACTTGTCTGGGGATCTTCGTACACTCTTCCTTAGAAACCTTGTTGCAAACCTGCTTGGGAACCTGCTTAGCGACTTTCTTGGGAACCTTCCTGCACTCCTGCTTGGGCACGTTCTTGCATTCCTGCTTGGGGACCTGCTTGGGTTCATTTCTGCATTCCTGCTTTGGCACGTTCTTGCAATCCTGTTTGGGAACATTCTGACATTCTTGCTTGGGCACATTTTTACATTCTTGCTTAGGAACCTGAAATATAAAGGTATAAAACGTTGAATACTTCCTGTAATAAACAGGAGTTTATGTTCTTATTTTAAGTAAAAAATGTTTATGAGTGTATGAGAGTTGTTTACCTTTTTACAGGCGGGTTTGGGGGCTCCATATCCACTTGCTGGTGCTCCGTATCCATAGCTGGGTAGAGCTTGCTCACATACTTCCTCGTACTTGGTTTCACACTGCTGTTCATACTTGGTCTGGCACTGCTGTTCGTACTTGGTCTCGCATTGCTGCTCATACTTGGTCTCACACTTCTGCTCATACGTAGTTTCGTACTTGGTTTCGCATTGCTGTTCGTACTTGGTTTCACACTGATCCTCATAAATAGTGTCGTATTGGGTTTCGTACTTGGTTTCACATTTATCCTCATACTTAGTTTCACACTTGTCCTCGTAGGTTGTGGAGTATTCGGTCTTGTATTCAGTCCTGCACTGGGTGTCGTATTCAGTTTCATACTTAGTTTCACACTCCTGCTCGTACTTGGTTTCACACTGCTGCTCGTACTGAGTTTCGTATTTAGTTTCGCATTGCTTTTCGTATTTAGTTTCACACTGTTCGTCGTATTTGGTTTCACACTCCTGATCGTACTTGGTTTCACACTTGTCTTCATACTTGGTCTCATATTGAGTTTCGTATTGGGTTTCACACTTCTTTTCGTATTTAGTTTCGTACTGGGTTTCATACTTAGTTTCGCACTGCTGCTCGTAAGTTGTTTCGTACTTAGTTTCGCATTCCTGTTCGTACTTGGTCTCGCATTGCTGCTCATAGGTAGTTTCATACTTAGTTTCACACTGGGTATCATATTTAGTTTCACACTGCTGTTCGTATTCAGTATGGCATTCATCGGCGTACTTGGTCTCACACTTAGACTCATACTTAGTCTCACATTGATTATCATATTCGGTTTTACATTGCTGCTCATACTTGGTCTCACACTGATTCTCGTAGCTGGTGGAGCACTGGTCTTCATACCTGGTCTCACATTTATCTTCGTACTTGGTCTCACACTTCTGATCGTACTTGGTGGCACATTGCTGTTCGTAGGTGGTGGAGCACTGATCCTCGTAGGAGGTGGAACACTCCTGGTCCTGCTGGCATCCGTATCCTGATCACATATATTCTCAATATACAATATAGATATAATAAAGCATATATTTATTGCTTGACAAGCTGCTGGACTAAATTGACTAACATGTTTTTAGGGAACCCCTGGGTACCTAGGGGTGACATAGGCTAAATGACGGAATGATTTTATTAAAGTTTCATCTTTGATTGAGGAGGGGGGGGGGGGG